ACGAGGCAGTCAATGAAATTAAATATAATTTTTATACATATAATAAAACTTGTACGCCACTATTGGCGAAACATGGACGCACAACATACTTATTTAACATCTTGCATGTTTGATTACTCGGTTTATGTATACGCATGTTTTACAATTAAACGATTTTTATTTGGTTTCATTTTGTGTCGTTAAAGGCTTAATTCAATTCTTAGTCCACTGCTTTGGTCTCTGAGACGCGCTGTTACTATCTACTGTAGATCTTGGCTTATAGAAGTTATAGTAGGATGGACTTGTAAGCATGGTTTTATGGTAAAAAAATACCACATACTGTATTCTATTGTTTTTTTATAACTTACAGGACTTGATATCTAGATTTCGATATCGTAGATGACTTCCTTACTTAGATTATAAGATTATGAACTCAGTAACTGGACTAAAGTCAATATTGCATAAATCACGTCCCAGATTAGAGATTATTGAGTTTTGATCTTTGCATATTTTACTAAATTCTCTTTTCCCCATCTAGCAAGAAGCGCATAAAGTTCCTGTACGGCAAATGGACGGAGTATATAAAATGCTGCAGTGCTGCCGCCTACGAGCAGTGGGCCAAGGAGCGCGGGGAGGAGGCGTCCTCACAGACTCCCTCACACACGCCTAAGAAGATGCTCGCTAAGTTGAACAGCTTCAAAGTTGGAGCACTGCGGTCTATGTCTATCCAAGACGTAAGTTCATTCCATTACAACAGATTTTTCTATTGCGGTTTTTAAATATAATTATATATTATGAAGTCCAACGACTACTGCGAAAGAGTTTATCGCTAGGCTCACTAGTATATCGAAGATACATACATACATAACATCACGCCTTTTATCCCCGAAGGGGTAAGCAGAGGTTTATATTATGCCACTGTACAATGTAACACCCACTTTTCACTATTTATGTTATCGAAGAATATCGAAGATACCTCGTCCAATAACTTGCACTTCAATGGTTGATGGGCTTTGTTTTTGATTGGTCAAACTGCATTGGTGTCATCTAGTGAGCAGGAAAACGGTGGTCCCCATATTGGATCTGAATTGCTATAGCCGAATATCATTTTTGTCTAATAAAATATACGCCAAAACATGGTCATACATATTATAATTCAATCTTTAGTTGCCCTTCTCACTTTTCAAGTTTTTCTTATTCTTTTTTGCTCTACTCCTTCCAGCCAGATGATGCGGAGAATTCAGAAGACGTTCCTAAGTCAGACGATACGAATAACATCGAGATCGCTGGCTCTGTCACCCTGTGGGAGGCGAGGCCGCGGCCTTCCACTAGTGCTCAGGTTAGTTTAGTTGAAAGTATACCAAATTTTTAATTGACTACAATATAGGGGACAAAAAGAGCTGATAGTAGAAAGTCAACATTTCAAAATCTTCAAGAAAAGTCATCTCCTATTTAAAATACTAGCAACGTGGGTCCTTGTATTTCTGTGGTACAATACCACAGAAGTCCGTCAGTAGCACAAATTGAATACTATAAGGTGATCAGTCTGCTCCTTTCCTCCTTATTTTTCAAACAAATATCTATAGGTAGCAGAAAACAAAATCTAGCTACTAGATCTGAAATCAACATTATTAAGATGGCTTACCAAAAACTTTGAATCTTCTTAAATTCCAGTACTACCAATTCACGGAATTCGCGATGTCTCTTAACGAGTTGGAGAGGGACATGAAAGGCCAGCTCTGTCCCACGGACAGTCGGCTGAGGCCTGACATCCGACTGCTGGAGCAAGGAGACATCGACGGAGCTGCCACTGAGAAGACCAGGCTCGAGGAGAAACAACGGACTGCTAGGAAACTGCTCAAAAAGTCACCTGAGGCTTGGCAACCTAGGTAATGACGATTTTATAATTTTCGAAGTATCCTAACACAAGTATATCTTGCTTGAAAGGAGGCTCCAGTCACATTTTATAAGTACAGATTTCGAAGATTCAAAAAAGCAAATATCTGTCTGTAATATGTATAAATGCATCCTTAATTTTTCTTTTACTTTGGTGACAATAATTATAAGTATTCGTATTATTGTCTAGTCTAGGTATTACACCATTTATTTATGTAGTGTGTTTTTGAAATGCACAATAGACATGGCGGGACATACATGGCCTTAGAGCGGAAATGTATTGTAAAGACGCTGGCAACCATAATAATTGTACCCAAGCGTACGGCGCGTTCTGCGCGCGCCTTTGTGAGCTATCAGACGGGGCCCAGTAGGGCTTATGTCCGCTACGGAGCCGCAGAAGACATAACGCGAAAAAATTACACGCTAATAAAAGGTAATCTTGATTATAATACACTTTTAATCTCTTTTCCAGGTGGTTCAGTCAAGGCACAAACCCCTATACGAAACAAGAGGACTGGCTGTACAACGGAGGCTACTGGGACCGCAACTACCAACATTTAAAGGACGTCGACATTTTCTAATCACCTACCTCTAACTCTGCCCATACTCTCTACGTACAAACTCGATGACTGGAAACTAAAAGACAAAAAATACTATAAAAAATACAGAACAGCTATTTATTAACTAGTTTCTTTTAGCAATTTCTAAAATTAATATTTATATTTTACAACATAAGCTATTGTGTATATTTTTGTGCCAAAGTTTATTTATGTATTATTTTTATAAGTTTGACCTAATAATCTCTTTTGTGGTTAGAACGAAGCTTCGCTTCTGGTGACACTGGCCGATTTAAAATTAAATTATAAATATTTTTATTATTTGGATAGTGATGAAAGATACTATGGAATTGTGAAGAGCAATCATATTTTTAAAATTAATATTCGAATGTTCGGACAACTTTATTGTTTGTTGAAAATGGAAACAACATCTGGGTAGTTGAGGTTCAGTTGTCCGAAAAAATCGAGAATTTGAATAGCTATTAATTTGAAATTAATAGCAGTCATTATGACGTACTTATGAGCATGTATATTAATTTGATGAACATTAATATTGGCGCGATTAGTTGACAAAATTAAATGTAAATAAGATTATTATCAAGACACGATGGATTTGGAACTAAGATTAAATGAATTGAATTGTATATAGGGTTATAATGTAGTGGACCAGAACGGAATGGTGTTATCAAAGAAGAATCATATTTTCGGCGTGAAGTTATATCTAGGTAAGGAATGTAAACTAGGATAGTGATTGAAGGTAATTGGGGCAAAACATTTATTTATTTAGGTAGTCAGCGCAGTTATTTTGGTATACAGGATTTAGAGACAGTAGCTATTGTTATACTTTACATTGTTTTTTGACGAAGACTATTATCTTTTGAAATCATTGGTCAGCCTAGTAGCAAACCAATGAGAAAATAGTCTCTTCTGAATCAATATTTTCGTAGTTTTATTTTCATATACCTGTACCAAATAACTGGGTTGATTATATACGTAATATAACTGTAAGTTATTCCATTATTTAGTTAGTGCTTTGTTGTATTTTGTATCAAAATATATATACCTGATATATAGTTGATTACAGTTACGCAGAATTCGATGTAAATGTACGAACAGCACACCGTGCATACTAAGCAAAATATATTGTAGGTAGTTATTTTTTCTGTAAGTATTTTTCTTATATATATTGTCTTGACCTAATAATCTTCAATCAAAAAGTATATATTTATCTAGTCGTGGATAATATAGAAAAAAATTAATATTTAAATATTAAATTGAATAGGATCGTGAAAGTGTAATTGAATGAAGTTGTTTATTTATATTTTTCTTATTTAATATAACTTAATTTAATAATGGAATTTATTTAACGTTTAATTATTTACTGTTTAAAATTATTATAAGCATGACAGCACTAGCTTGGTTTGTATTACATATTACTATACTAAGTGATTAAATATATATATATATATATATTATATTTTTAAGAACTTTGCTTCCGGTAGTATTCAAAAGTGAAGTCAATTATTAGTGAATGAAAGTGATGTAGAGAAAAGATATATAACTATCTTTTCTGACATAATATTCATGTTTGAAAGTAGGCTTTGTATTACTGTAGTTGTTGAAGCTTTCATGTGGAACTTACTTGTTACCCACTTAAAATATGGTCAGATTTTTCTTGGTGGGGGTAAATTTGCTCATTGTATTAATGTAGATTTACTCATTATTTCTCAATTTTACTTCCAATACAAAGTTAGTTTCTTGTACTTACGTTAACTTTCTTTAAAATGAACGTAATTAAAATTAAATCATAGTAAAAATAAAAAAGAATAAAATATGATAATTTTTAGAACAATTCTTTTCCCAATTCCTCCCAATGTCTCCAATGCCCAATCAAATCATTTCAATTCCCCAATCTTCAAAAACTTAACTCTTGCGGATTGCGGGGGTCGATAGATGGAACCGATAGCTTACCACCGTGATCGTTAGCCATCTTGCCCCATATAAGACGAGAAAATCCAAAATGTGCGAATTCACTCCTACCACGAATCATCTGACCATAGTTCGTGCCACAGACTATACATATACCTCTAGTAACTGTACATTCAACGTCGGCAACTTATGTTGGCATGCTGAGGAAATATCTGGACATTTTATCAGATTTACATTATATCTAACTACATATATATTAAATTAACTAAAAATCGCGAGTTACTCACGTGAATATACTGAGAAAAGCTTTACTAGTCAATAATGTACCTACTCAGTAGGCTGCGAGACATCGCCGCGACCGCACAAGCTGCTCATGAGGAAGACCCCTCTGTGGTTCGAAACTAGTAGAGCTTTTCTCAGTTTCCCATTCACGAGAGTAACCCGCGATAATATTATTATGTGAGTGTTAGTGTATAATTCAAAGAAAAAAATAAAATAAGTAAGTTTATTTCATTCAACATGACGTTGAATAACTATTTATATTCTAAAAAGAATTAAAATTGATGTATAGAATTAAATACTTACACTTTTATTTAATAAGTAGCGTAAGTATAATTTTTTTTTATTTAAATTATATTTTTGTTGTATTTTTGTCTAAGATAGGTCGTATCCTATTGAGTATACATTGCTATACATTCCATTCCATTGAAGTAGCTGTTAGATTATGTGTTAAACATAATGTAACTTTATGTCGTATAAAATAAGAAATAAATTAGTAATATTAATTGTTGTTTGCTAAATTATTGAGCATTTAATGCTTAGAATAATTTGATATTATTAATTAGGTTCTGAATAATTAGTTTGAGCGCCTTTGATTAGGAATTCATTGTTGTTTATGATTTGAGCATATATTACAATGGATAAGTATGTACAGTATACCTGCAATTGTAATGAGATTTGTCTGTTTATTATATTAGTAATTAATTTATTTAGAAGTAAATAAGTAGTGTTTAATGGACACTTATTTTTATTTTCATAATTATTAAAAATATATGTATTATTATTTTTTCAAGCGGAAGACATGTCTGTCTGTATAAAATTGTATACGCAAAATGAACTAGTCAAAATTAAATGCGCACATTCATATTTTTTTTGCAAAAACGTATAAGAAAATATTAAGCAATAATTACTCAATGTGTAGTTTAATAAAATTATTTACTTGTAATTCAAAATAACTAGTAAATAAGTATCTTAGTGTTAAGTTAATTATTCCATTTCATGTATTTCCATTAAAATAAGACAAATGTACCTTCCATTTTAGAACATTAAAATTATTTTTGACACCAGCTTTCACAATACAACATAGTTCCTATAGAGCACTGGTACCCGACTTCCAAAAGAAAATAATCAAATAATTTTAAATTATACTTCTTTTATAAGCTGTTTGTATTTTGCTTATTAATAATTATAATAGAATCATAAGTTAGTGTCGTTTCAACAAAGGTGATTATACGCCAAAATGTCTGTAGGTATCTATTTAAATATGTGTATGTAGCAGAAACTGTACATTTTAAATGTGAATAATCAAAAATAAACTCGAATAAATAGATTGAGAATTTACCAAGTGTATTTTAATTGAAGGTTTTGTTTTTTATTATTTTTTTTTAAATTAAGAAAATAAAGCAACTCATTTATATATTTTTTTTCATGTATTCAATATAATAATCAACAATACCGCTGACAGTCCACTTCTTAACCTTAATCTAAGTGAAAAACTTGATTTATCAAATTATCATACATCAAAGCAACTGCAAATAAGAATACAAAAATACAAATAATATACTGTCAACTTTTAAAAATACAACAGGTATATACTGATAACATTGAGTAAATATATAATTGATTATTATTTTTTTGTTAAATATATAATAATATATAGCTCATTTACTTTAAAATATGTACCTAATGCGTTCACAAAGTTGACAAAATACAACTAAAGAATCATATTATACAACAAATATATAATATCATGTTTTAAATTCACTTCAAGGTAGTTTATTTATGATGGCACTTACAAACATAAAATTATCTCCTTCTATTTCTACTGCAATAAGAAATAATACTCTGCCCTATTCAGAAACGTTTAATAGGTACTTAAACTCCTTAGTTACTCTTTAGTAGCAATTATGTTCTGCAAATTGTAAAGGAATTAACCTCTTGTCTATCGGAACGTATCCGCGAGATACAATATGTTTTCTATTGTGTCTCAAATATCGACAGACAAGGTTAAATGACTCTGAACATGGCAGTAATTTATTAAGGTAAAACGGGGTGAATAGAATTCGAGGGGTGAATAGATACAGAAGTGAATAAATGTTGGGAAAATAGTCTAACACTTATCCACCCCATTCCTGTATAGGTACAACATGTAACCTAAATAACGCACATCCTGAAAATAGTTTGTTCAGAATCGTTAACTGAATCGATTTATATAATTTTTAGTATAGGTAATTTTTTATCCAAAAAATAATTAAAGCTACGGAAATTATTGTCATATTAACCCTGTATTGTTAAAACAAATCGAAATGGACCGTAAGTCAAAGCAATAAGACTTTTAAAATCGCAGTTTTATTTGTATTCATACAAATTCTATCAATCAATACAAAATAAAGAAAAATATACCTTATGACAAGACTAGTAAGGATGCATATACATGTTAAATTAAAAATTTAATGTATGTATTGTGATTATAACATAATATTCTAATTGGGGTGTTTGAGGGTGTGCGTTAATTACGTTACATGTTGTATATTCACCCCTCGAATTCTATTCACCCCTCGAATTCTATTCACTCCTCGAATTCTATTAACCCCGTTTTACGGTATTAGCATTACTAAAACTCTGAAAAATAAAAGTCTATTTGTGGTGATATAACAATGTCCTTATAACATGTCATTAAAATATATTTTCACAAAATCAGTATTAACAATGAAAACATTTAATAACACGATATTATTTATTATACGTAAGTTTATAAAATATAAAATAAACATATATTTATAAACAGTATAATAGGATATTACAGATATACTAGTTCATAGAATAGTATATGTAGTATATATAAAATGTATAATTATTATATAATAGGAGTTTATGATTTTTTATAAAGGGCAAGACTATTAAAATCAGTTTCAATCATACTATGTTATTGTATATTATATCTAGGCACTGCATATCACACAATTTCATTTAATATTTGACTTTTACAGTCAAATATTATTCTAAAACTAATCTAAAAATGTTATAAGAAAAATTAAGATTCGTTTCAGTTCGTAAGGTCTAATCGGTAATTTCAATGACGTCTTCATAAACAATTTTAAATATTTTTTCTCTTACAAATATAAAAGTAAAAACAGATCTTATATTTATACATCCAATTTATATAAAATGTGTTTTTTAATTGTAATCTTTGAAATAGAAATCGTAAGACGATTTATTGATATGATTTCATTAATAAATATTTTATAAGTTTACTTTAACGAGTACTTATGAAATTACCCAATAAACCACAAGAATATAATTTTTTTAAAAACCTCCTAACCAAACAACTATTTCTACATTATTTTTCTTAGCTAGAAGAACGTCTAGGTTACCAACCTGCTTAATAATTTGAATTGTGAAACATTCAAATCAATTTACAAGTAGGTACCTATTTCGGTGTAAATAATAAAATAAAAAAAAACATTTTCGAATTTGGAATTCCAAAAAAAAATCCCAAAGTTTTTAATTCTAAAAATGACATTGATAAATAAATATATATTATGCTTTAAATGATTTCTTCAATTTCTGATTTCTGATTTCTGATTTCTGAATGAGTACTTATAAAACCATATTGGTAATCTTAAGTAGGTTTTCGTGTACTTTTAGTATTCTAAAGCTAAGTTATGTAGATTTTTGGTCCTTACGACTTGAGCCTAAATCCTTGCGTTACTCAAAGGGCTTAGTGCAAGGTTGTGTTACGTCTAACGAGATCAAATCATTCCGCGTTGTGATTGGTTGATTTTTTCAAGCATGCCTTAATAAAACAATCTTGAACTAGGCCCTTTGTTTTAGGTGATTATGTCCCTATATTAACTTAAATGTTTATTATATTTAAGGGTCGGCTTCTAGACCAGAATCTAAAAAGTCCTTTAGATATAGTGGCACTTGCTTCGGGAAAACTCTGCATATCTGAAAAAGAGAATAGATTTTTTTGTTAATTATATAAATACATAACATAACATCACATCACATCATCAACAGAGGTGTACCTACATTATGCTACTGTACAATGTAACACCCACTTTTCACTATTTATGTTATGAGTCCCATGTAATAGATAGGGGGTGAGCCTATTGCCATATACCGGGCACCATTCTAGACTCCATGTTACTACTGAGAGTTTTTTAAAAATAGTAGCACGGAGTCTGGAAATGTGCCCGGTATATGGCAATAGGCTCACCTCCTATTACATGGGACTTATAAGTTATAACATAAATAGTGAAAAGTGGGTGTTAAATAGTACAGTGGCATTAAGTGCCGAAATGTGCACCTCTGCCTACCTCTTCGGGGATAAAAAGGCGTGATGATATGTATGTTTATGTGTAGGTGTATATATATACATATACCTATTGCTATTCCAATCTTTTTTATTTGTTTACGGGTGTGGAGCTCAAGTAGAAGAACTTACAATAGCAGAAACATAAATAGCAGAGCTTAAACATACTTAATAATAGGCTGTCATTTTCGTTACTGGAGTTTTTACCGACTTCTTACCTATCAGTGAGTGGGTAACCTATCAGTACTAATAATAACAATTTTTTGCTTTTTAGTATTGACTTTTTATTTGTTATTAGTTTTTGGTTTTTAGATTTCTGAAACATCTTCATTGTGGGTGTATCTATCTAATGGTGGTAGACTTGGCAATACTGAGACTCTTTTTTAAAATAACTGACGAAAGTATGTATACAGTGTAAAGAGAAGATCGTCTACCTACCTCTATAGTCAGAATTTTAATTAGATTCCAGATTTGACAATAGCTACTGTCATTTTGTGAAATAATGATACCACATATAATAGCGTAGTGATGAACATAAAAATCGATAAACAATCAGTGTGTGTGTTTTATAATAAATGTTACAGAAAGTGACAGGATAGCGATAGCGATGACGGCGACAATTTACAAAATAACTTATTACCATAATACATCTATCTGTTTTATTTGTCATGTTCCTTCATAATTGCATTTTTTTATTTATTTCACACACAATTATAAAAGAAAAGTCTCAGATCGTTAATTAATCGTCAAAACCAATTTATCGGTTCTGAAATATTTAATTTCCAAAAATACTTAGTATACGAGAGTATAATTATAAACATGAAGAATCGATCCAGAAATATTGCATTTCCATATCGAATAATTTCGCAACGTCACTATTTAGTACTTGTCATAACGTTGCAACACTGAAATTGTGAAATCTGGAATCGAATTAAAATTCCGAGTATAGTTTTTTAGAGAATTGAATAGTTTCTTCATTGCTTATTTATAAATTATACCGGAGTACATATCAGTGGCGTGCAGTCCATATAGGCGAAAAGGCATTGCCTACCTATAAATATCGTGAATATATAACATACATATAATGTACAAACGCGTTTATTAAAATTCAATAATATAATAAAACTTTGTAAAAAAACGGCTAACATAAATACGCGCCTTTGTAAAGTAATGAATGCGCCCCGCACGCACCACGCATGCGCCACTATTCCTTAAATCTTGGTTGGCAGTAGTGACGTCACAAAAGAAATGTACCAAAAGTATGCACCGCGCATGCGTGAAGTTCACGACCATAGTCACGGTACATAATAACCATTCATAATTATATTACGCGATTCCTGTTGATTGACAAAATGTTTGCAACTAAAAAATTAGAGGACCGTTCGTTCATCACTTGGAAAACGATCGTATTTTATTAAGAATTCTAAATACAATAAAACAACAACAAGTTATTGTATTTTTAAAAACAATTAAATCATAAAAGGATTTAAATTGATAAAATTTGTATGTATATCGTAAAGTACTGATGAATGGAGTACACCAGCGCCATCTATTGAATTTTTTGTTGAAACTTCTGAACTCGTTCGATATAATGCGAATGTATTTTTATAAATGCGTATTTAACAAATATTTTTCAAGTGTTTTAATTAAAGTTTAACATTTTTACGCGTTGTCGGTTTATAGAAATTTTAAACGAGGAGTTGACTTTATTATTATAAAAGTTAAAAGGAAGTTATTGATACGTCAAGATGGCGCCATTTACAACGTTTCAAATTATATGAATGAATGTTTTTTAGTATGAAATATTGGTTTAAGACGATGATGCAATTTCATTTGACTTACTAAATTAACGTTTGTTTTTTTGAAATTAAACGCTGCGTTACCTTAATTTTTAAGCTACATTTTTTTTATAATAAACACTCAATTGACTATTGGTAATGACTTCAATTCATTTCCAATGTTTTCGGCCATATTGTTTTCATGTGATGTGCGATCGCTTTGTTTATGTTTTCGTTTAAATTATTAGGAATTAGTTTTAAACATAAAGTTGCATAAATGTGTAGTAGTAGTTAAATATATGTGTAGGTTTTTCAAATAGTGTATTTGTTTCTCAGTTTCTAGTACAAGTACCTATATTATTCGATTGTGAAGTGTGTGTGAATAATAGGTAATTTTATGTGTTTGTTGAAAGTAAAAACAGTAAGATTTCGCAATGTCCTTTATCGGACTAGATTCAGGTAATGACCATAGGCAGAGGTGTACTCGAGTTACGAGAATTGACCCAAGTAAAAGGTAGGTAATGTAAATATGTACTATAATGGATCTTTTATTTGATTTTCTTGTTTATTGTTTGATAATTCTTAAAAATATCAACTTAGACTTCGGGTTGTACTGATTCACATATTAATTTATTATTAATATTTATGTAATGTAGTAATAACAAATGTACCGCATAGACTCGGCCGGCTCGGCCACAGCCGGCCGCGCTTGTTATTGTTTTGTTTGTTGACATAATGTAGGTACCTACGCTCTTAAATTCGTAATATATTATGATTTTGACCAGATTGATTAACCTTAACAATTCCATAATGAAATTTGGTTCATCAAATTTATGCTTCATTATTAAAATAAATAATAGATCTTTCATTATTTGTAAGTTTTGTTGGCTTATTCAATAGCTGATGAAGTACTTCACAAAAAATACGCGAGATGTCAGTGTATGTAATTTGGCGAAACAATACACCACAATATTCTTGAACGCACTTTTCAAAATATATTATGTACATGTACCTATCTTGTGTGAGCATGATTGTATGACCGGCGGGGGGAGGGGTTTAATCATACGATATTTAGTTGCCTACCCTGTCTCGAAAACCTGTGCACGCCATTGGTACATATAATATAATTGAGGGAAAAATGTAACGATGCCAGCTATAACAAGCAGGTTTCACTTGAAACTAGTTTCCATGCAACCAGTAATTATGGCTAGGTTATATTTAAGTAGGTATCTCTACGTATAGGACGAATGCTTCAAAGACCTTGGTATAGGTACCTACGTAAACGAAAAAATATATTGATTCCTTTTTTAATTTTAAACGTGGTGAAGGTTATATAAAGTCGTTGATTAAAGGTTATATAAAACCGTACAAAGAATATTCTAGTGGATATTATTATTATTTAATTCAGCCGAGACTCGTTGGCCGAGTCGTCGTAAATGCGCCTCGGGTTTGATTCCCGGGTTGGGCAAAGTAATACTGAGTTTTTTTCAGAAAAATTTCCGTAGTAGCACGGAGTCTGGAATTGTACCCGGTATAGGGTCACTCCCTATTACGTGGGACACATAACATAAATAGTGAAAAGTTACATTATAGACATACAGTTGCATTAAGTGTCGTAAAGTACACCTCTGCCTATCCTTTTCAAGATAAAATGGCGTGATGTCATGTTATGTTATTATGATAATGGCAGAGATACGCTCCTCACTGGTGTAAGAGCTGATTAAGGGACAATACAATTAACAGAGACCAGGGCCGCGACCTTTAATAAACCAGACTCTTTGAAGCTGCAATCTCAAACCAAGCGGTTATTGCTGTTGCGGTTCAATGGGCCAATTTAGAAGCCCATGTGACATGTTCACTGCGTTATCAATCAAACCTTCAATCATTTCAATCAATTAAGCCTTTGACTGCCGACAGAAAACTGTTGAGGGTAAATCCTCCGCTATCGTGGCCCATACCTTGTCCCCCATGGCGTTCAAGGTGTTAATAAAATTAAATAAAGATAAAAAAATGGAGGCCCATTCATAGTCTAATAATAATTAGGTTGTGTAATTTTGTTTTTCCAACTTACCAGATTAATATAATAGAGTGAGCTAGGAATAGTGATTTCATTGTAGTTCCTCCTGACGGCGTCTACGATCTGGTCGGATGCCTCCTGCGGCGTCAGGATCTTCATCAAAGTGGGGAACTTCACCTTCGGGTTCTTGCACAGCCCCGTGTCCACGATGTAGGGACAGATCACTGTGAATTTAATCTGGAAAGGAAATAATATTAAATTAGCATTACTTTACCTCTATATTGTTTTGTAGTCCAGATGGTGAAAATATGTGTTTAATTGTCAGTGCGTATAGTGTAGTGAATTTGCATGGTGTTTTTTTTGAGTGGGTAATTCATCCAATGACTTCTCCCGCCCGGTTGAAGCGAAAGGTCATGACGTGCGGAATGTCATACTCTTACTGACTAAACTAACCAACCCGTTCCTACTCCTGCACTTCGAGCCGGAGCCCCGGTAACCCGTTAAACCCTGCGGCTCTGTATCAGCATCAGCCCTATTGGCCCCATCTGTGGTGGTCTGATGGCTCCTTGAGAATTTGCATGGTGTACAAATTCATTAAACATTACCAGTAAATGCCTTATAGAAATAAGATAGGTGTGAAACATCAAACCTGTACATTGATTTTATAAAAAATCGATCTCGAGATTGATTTATGATAGCACAAGTTTAATTAAACCTTAGTGGATTTTGGTTGCTATTTTAAATGAATAATCCTGTACTTATTGTAAATACGATAAATAAATAAAAAAAAAATTGTGTTAAACCATGTGATAGGAGTTACAGGAGGCTCCATTATCTCACCTATTTCTAATCCTAATCTAAATCTAATAACGACTGCCTCGTTGGCCGAGTGGTCGTAAGTGCGACTGCCGGGCAATGGGTCTCGGGTTCGATTCCCGGGTCGGCCAAAGTATTACTGGGTTTTTTTAAATATTCTCAGTAGTAGCACGGAGTCTGGAATTGTGCCCGGTATATTGCAATAGGCTCACCCCCTATTACATGGGACTCATAACATAAATAGTGAAAAGTGGATGTTACATTGTACAGTGGTATAATGTGCACCTCTGCCTACCCCTTCGGGGATAAAAAGCATGATGTTATGTTATGTTCTAATTCTTAAATGTTCAAATATTCAGAAGGTCGGTAACGTTGTGTAATTCCTCTATTCTCCAATTTTCTTAACAAACTTACGCCACTGTAGTCCTTAGTCTTGTCCTCTCTGAGTTCCTCATGGAGTGCCTCCATGAGTCCTCGGACGGCGAACTTGGTGGCGCAGTACGGGACGAGGTTGCGGAGCCCCACTACTCCGGCCATCGACGACATGGCGACGATGTGGCCGTGGTTGCGCTCCATCATTGATGGAAGGAATGTTTGGAGAAGCTGGAAGAAGTGAGATGATGATCACATTGCTGGCGATAGAAAGGTGACTAGAAAATGAAAATAAGAGTTTTTCGAATAAAAGTGGAGACGATAGAATACGGTTCAAATGAAGGCCATGAATTGAAAACAAATATTATTATGTTGTTATCCATAGTATGGGAAACGAAAACGTTTATGAAGATAATTCCAGTTACTTGGTGAAATAGTGGAACCGAATATAAACAGATTTTACAGTTCTTTAATGTTTGATTTCTTTTAATTAATTAATTTATTTGTCAGTCTTTTTTTAAAAACGTTGCCATACACTAGAATTTCCTCCTGTATCGTGGGTGCGTTTACAAACATACAATTTTACATAGATACAAATAGCACCCAGACTCGAATCAACAATTTGTGGATCACACGCAGAGTTGCTTCGTGCGGTTCTCCGCTATACGTAGCCTGTTGCCCAGCCATCGCGTCAACCGTGCAATGAAACCATGCAGACTTCAGTAGCTATATATGACCTTGACTTTAGCTTCACTTACATAAGGTGATTATTACTTACCCATAAATGAGCGATGATGTTAACTTCGAATGAAGTGCGGATCTCCTTCTCAGAGGTCTGCAGCAAAGGTTTGCAAGGCATGATGCCAGCATTGTTCACTAGCATCGTAACCTCGCCCACTTCACGACGAATATTCTCTGCTAATACCGCTATGGCTTCACGGTCTGTGACGTCACATCTGTGGATTTTGAATTTACCTCATAATTTAGAACTGCTTTTGTTTTTTTTTTGATTAGGTTGTTTAGAGCATTGTCGTTGAACAGGATCGATGTCGGAGCATTTCATAGAATGATAGCAAATACGAGTTTTGATGGTGCGAAGATGTTGTTTAGTTTCATGGAGTAATACATTGATATCTTGTGTACTCATACTACATACATTAGGGTTCTATGGGACTGATATACGCTGTGCGTTATAAAAGTCCTTATGATGTTAAGAAAAAAAATTTTTCTTTTTACTTTCTTTATTTTTTGGTTTCGAATTTGTAAATGTGTGTTTTTGTTTTGACGTTCAAAAGTGACTTCCTGGTCTAATTGAAATAAACTATTTTGACTTTGACTTTGACTTCTTTCTGGTTCAGTTTTTACGAAGTTCAGCTCTCTTTATAATTATTTTATTAAACCCATATAGTTGACCTTCTATTTACAGCTACCAATAGCATCAATGCTAATTTTGAATATAATAGTGGAAAAAGTTATGTATCAAATTAATATTTTGATTAATTGCCTATTTAATTATTTTTTACATTAAATAAACAGTTTTCATAAAACAATACACGCTAGCGTGACTATCTACTATTTATCCTACTTATTTATATTTGCAAATTACGTTATAATGATCGATAATACAATCGCATGTGCATCTCCTGCCAGAATATGTAGGTATACAATGACCCAATGACCTTCAAGTACACAATGATGCGTTGCGTGTACCTGTTATTTTAATATTTATCAATCTGTGTGTGTGTTTTGATACATGTTAATTTATATTTTTTGTTTATTTAATTATTTTTTGTTAGATTTTAATAACAAAAATTACTTAAATTCTAACAGATGGATAAGCACGATCTATAAATATGACGTCAATATATTTTATCTACCTATTAGCAGAAAACTAATGCTTTGTTTTTAATAACATTTTATTTATAGTTATTTGTAAAAGATCATACTTATTATGCGATAAAAATAAGCTTATTTGAGAAATGTTTTTCTGAACCATGCCAATGCCATATTTCTTTAGCAATTAACACGTACCTGTTACCTAAATTACTTTGGATAATGTATATATTTAAGTGTGGGAGAGCTATGCTTCGCCACGAATGGGCCGGCTCGACCGGAGTGATACCACGGCGTCACAGAAAACCGACGTGAAGCAACGCTTGCGTTGTGTTTCGTCGTGTGATTGAGGTTACCGGAGGCCCAATTACCTTCCCCTTCCCCAATCTCCCCAATCCCCAACGATCCTCAAACTCCTACTCCCCAAAAAGCCGGTGACGCACTTGTAACGCCTCTGGTGTTCCAGGTGTCCATGGGCGACGCCGATTGCTTACCATCAGGTGATCCGTCTGTTCGTTTACCGGCTTATGCCATAAAAAATAATATATATATCTGGTCACCTATCTACAACTGGCATGTAATTGAACCTAAATACATAAATCTAAGTTCGACATTAAACTATACAAATATATTCAATCGGAGGTCTCTGCTTAACCGTAATTGGTAAGGGATACACATATCTGATATATGTATGTGTGCATCCTTTTTTAACTTTATTTGAGAAAATATCTCCGTTTAAGTATCGTTCTATAATATCAGCCTAACGCCAGAATACTGAAATGTGACTCAATTTTAAGTGCTGTCTCTTTCATTTTACAATTAATTAAGGTTCTTTTTCATGTTTCATGGGTCTGTTTGACCAATATCTCGCCTGGTGGTATGCGATTATGCGGCCTACGATGAAGCACGTCGTCTAATAAGCAACCTATTCACTCAGGCCTTGAAGACACCCAGGTTACATTATTCAAAAAATACAGACTCTGGCGAATAGTTCCACTCCTCAGCAGTACGCACAAAGAAGTACAATTTGTGGTGACAAAAATAATTAGGAAAGCATTTTCAAATTGAATGGCGATTGAAAGCAGGTATACTAACTCATATCGATGAGCCTTCCCCTTCTGTTCCGTGATCATGTCAACAGTCTCCTGGTTGCCAGTAGGGTTAATGTCCACGCAGACGATGATGCCGCCTAACTTGCCGAACCGCAGCGCTGTCTCCCGACCCATGCCGTGACCTGCACCAGTGATCTGGAATCACAGAAATATGAATAAGGCTTTTTTTTAAATATTTAAGATTTTTTTAAGGGGGGAAAATCATCGAATGACTGCTCCCGCCTACGTGAGACGGGAGGGAGTGTCAGACTCTCACTGACTAAAAACCACCCCGTTTCTTCTCCTGCACGTCGAGCCGGAGCTCCGGTAACCCGTTAAAATGGATTATTTTTGTTTGTATGCTACAAACGAATTTATTTTCGAAGAAGACTGGTGTTGTAGGTACAATTTTGTGGATAATTCAATGGTATTTGAAAGTTGCCATCTGACTTTGGAACCTAATTATATGTTGTGTATTTTTCCTTAAGCAACTGGTTTTGTGTCACAGCAAGAACAATCAAAAACTATTTTCGCATTCATTATTAAAGACAGTACAGCATGGACAAACATTTCCATTATAAAAAAGTCCACCCTTGTTACAGAGCCTCTTCTAATTTTGATTTATTAACAGATTTCAAAAAAGTAGGTATCTATATTTATTTTTCTAAGAATAAGTTGATAGATCAGATGTAAAATTACTTACCAATATGATCTCGCCTTTGACACTCTTGGGTTCTGGCGGTACGAAGAACTGGTAGAGGCAGTGGAACCAGGTGAGGGTCATCTTGATGTACAGCACCAGGATCTCCAGTGCCAACGAGAAGCCATTGTACACCTTCATTGCTATGCCTTGTTCGTCAGTCCTGAGAAAAAACATATAGTTTTTAATTGACATGAAAATATTAAGAATTGTTTTTGCACTTGAATAGTTATCACATGAGTCTTACATTTTTTAATATGTACTTTTTTAAACTTTAAAAAAAATCTTTTATTGTTTATTTCATTACTTGAAAGTCCCGAATAATGATAATTATGTTAACGGGTTTTGATGATGATTTAGACTTTTTACAAGTTTATTTGCGGAGCGATACAAATTCGTGACGATGGTAGATATTAGAACGGGAATAAATAGTGACGGTATAAGAAAATAAAAAATATGTATGAACACCTTCAACTTTGAAAAATAAAATATGACGACAAAAAAAAAAGGGAGGCGGGAGGTAGTGTCAGACTCTTACTGACTAAAAACCACCCCGTTCCTACTCCTGCACTTCAAGCCGGAGCCTCGGTAGCCCTATAAGTTCTCCGCGGCTCATACATGCGGCGATAGGACTTTTTATCCCGATTAAATGCTCCCATGGGATAAAACAGAAGTCATATTCTACGCGGACAAAGTCGCGGGTAAAAGCTAGCAGTATACAAGTAACCTACATAGTTATTTAAACTCCTTCGCGACTTTAAAACGACTCGCATAAATGCAGTTTGTTTTCGTTGGCCATGAATTGCTTATCGGATCTTATCGCAATGTACAGGCTATGAATGAATTGGAACAAGTTTTTTTTTTTAAGTAGGTATTACATTTGTTATTAGGTACCTACTAACGTAAGTAGTAGGTTCTTAATCTGACGGTATATCATTTAGAGTTTTAGACTTAGTATTATAAGAACTTTGTATTTATTTTATGATTGACCTGTGATATAATGAACATAAATTATTTGTTAGATTAGGTACTATTTAAAACCACTAACCGATAAAGTTTTATTACATTATTACATACATAAGATATAAAACGTTACTAGCGCCATCTAGTTATGAAATATCTACCACGAGAAACATCCTCAATCGTCAGTTATGATTCAAGATTAATAAAACTGGTCCCTCGTGACGTCTTAATGAATCTGACAGTTAATGTAACAAAATATTGTTCACATTGCTACAATTTTCGAAAATTCATGTGAAAATTTTAAGTACCTACCTATAAGTAAAACTATTCACCATAAAATACGAAACGCAATATTTTATGATATTTGCATAATCAGCTAGTTGGGGCAATGATCTATCTTACCCAACTGCGCTGCGAAATAGGCGGTATAATTGCTTCACTGCTAATCTCAATGTCACTTGCACGCATTCGTGTTGTTTTCATAATTTACTAAGAACTTGAAGAAACTAGAAGTAAAACTATAATTTACTAGATTTTAAAATTCGAAATAATATCATGGAGTTTGGAACGGCATACCTTTTTTGCCCTATCATATGCCTGGGTTCACTTAACGATATATTAAGTAATCAAAGGAGAAGTTATTACACATCATGGAAAGAAGCAGGTTCTCCCATGGAGCCCGACGGCAGCTCCAAAAGGTATACTAGCATACACATTAGCCATTAAACTAACAAAAATCCCGAAAATAGATATCCTATTATCAGTGGTAGTAGAATTACAGACATATTGATAGATAATAATGATCTACTCATTTTCCTGCGGTACCTAAATGACAGACTTCATGCCACTTATCAGTTCGTTCACCGACATCAACGTTTAAATTCAAACCATCACTTTCATGGAAAATACCCAAGTTGCATTAAACAAAGTCCATTAAACAGGGAAATCCTTGTTGGCGACGTATATAATTTTCGGCCATGGTAATCAACTTTTAATGTTTGACTAAATCTCCATATCATTATAACGTAGGTAGATGCATATATGTCAGCTATAATGATTTACTTCCGTTTACGACCGATTATATTCAAAACAACCAAAACATATCTTATTAAACAGGGAAGTGAATTTTTCATTTAACAAACATACCTCTAGATACCTAATTACGAAATATAATTGTTGTAACCTCGGCTCTTAAATTAAAATAAATCTTGTACCTATTTACACTGGCATAACTGTACCGTTCGGGGCCAGTTGCAAGATCATCAAATGCACCCCTGTTCCCAATAAAAAGCCGATAGTTAAGTTCAGATGAAAACGTCTGAACAGGGGCCCTTTTTACCTGGGGGCCCGTGGCATTTTGCCAACTTGCCATGCCAGTGTAGATAAAACCAATTATACAATTTTATAAAACTCTTGAGTTACTGACTGACAGACAACGTTCAGCTGAAGTTAAGGACAAGAAAAAAGGCTTTTTTCAAGTGGGGAAAATCATCGAATGACTGCCCCGTTCCTTCTCCTGCACGTCGAGTCGTAGCCCCGGTTACCCGTTTGGTTCTCCGAGAGTCCGAATCGAGAAAAAAATAAATAAAAGGCTAGACATGTGTTTTCTTTCATTGGGACACTAAGCGATAAATAAAAGAGAATCGTAATTCCGTAGAATTCTCACGAGTATGAGAATTAATATGGAATTGCTAAAATGATGCGGGTACAAAGACGCTTTATTATTTTATTAGTCTTCTGTAAAATAGTTGGAAGTCAATTAGAGATCGGTACAAAGTCCAGAGTACAAAGTATTATGTGTATTTCTTATTCTCGAAATTGGTATTTGGACTTTTGATTTCTGCGTTTTATAAAGCAATTAGATCATCTGTTATTTAATGAAATTGATATAAGCATGACAAGCAAAAATTTAGGTAAAGGTGGAACAGAACTTCCTTTTAGAGGACTAGAGGACTGGTCATAATAGGTAATAACTAACGTAAAGAGTGATATACAGGCATATTTCGTTATCTACCGATTCGATGTTTTATCAAATAAGGAAATAAGCTTTAATCGTTACCGAATCATTTTAATGCTCACCTTGGTAGTGCTCTTAATTATTGTTTTGTTTTTTACGATTTAAAACGTCCATGGTTTTCAAAAGTTTAAGTTGTCAGGGTTAAATATAAAAATAATATCGTTATATTTTTATAAGTAAATCGTAAACTTGTCCAGAACAATCTGAGAACACCTTCTTTAAAAAAACTGAAGTAACTATTAAATATATTATTATGCAGGCTATAATATCAGCAGCTGTAGCCAAATGCCACTTAGCGCTTTTCTACATGTAGAATAGAAAACCAAATTATATGGAATTGACGTAAATTTTGACACTTGTCATATCATCCCCATACATTTTGATTTCTACTCTCTCTGTAGACAAGCGCTAAAGTGGGGTTTGGCTAGCGGCCCAGGCCAGGTTCTTTCACGAATACATTTATTTTACCAATAAAACAGCTTAAACGGCACCTACAGACCTTTTACTATTAAAAGGTACTACAACATAATTCAAAAATCATTAAGGCATATTCCAAAAATGTTGTTTCGACGACGTATTAGCGTGTTTGCGGCAACCGGCGACCGGTAGCCGTTGTGCAACCGCAACGGTAATGCGGTCCGGTGCGTTTTCAAGTTCGAGGTTACCTGACGCAATTTGCGTTCATGACACGAACGGGTTTATGCTGCAGTTGATACCTGTTGTAATTTGTAAGTGTAACATTGTGTAGCAAAGTGTAATTGTACGTTTGGTACAATATGATAAATACAGGGTAATTTAGAGAAGAATAATGCAAAAGACGTTCGACAGAGAATGAAAAAAAGAGTGTGATAATAATGTGATATCTCTTAAACCAAAAACACAGTTGCATAGTTTAGTTTGCATATGGAAAAAACATTTATTTTATATAGGGAATATTAATAATAACTGTACCATTTTCGAAGAAAAATTATCATATGGCAGGTAGTGGCAGAGAATGCTATATGACATTAAGTTCGCCTTATGCACCACCATTTTGTCGAATTGTGTACATTTAAGACTAAATAAATAAATAAGTACTAGAGGTAGATATTCAACGAGAACGAAAATTTTAAATGTTCAGTGTTTACACTCTTTATAGACAAGTCCACTGGACTAGGTTCAGGATTTTTTTATGTGGGACTGAACTACACTACAGCCTCCTAAAACCGCTGCAACTCCTGTAAGCCAGGCTCTAAAATAGATACAAACATGAAAGTAACAGAACAATGAAAGTTTAGGATAACAATAAAATGGGTTCCAAAGATGACAATACCCAAGCACTGTTAAGCCTCAATCCATCATCATTTAAACTGTCAAACACCAAGCGGTCACCGGTGACCGCAACCTATTGTTCTATAATTGTGTCTACAAAACCGGTACTCGACGAGTTAAGAGAAAGAAGCCTTCGCCGTTAACCTTCAAACGACCACAAATAAATAATCTTACACTGTTGTCATAACAACTCAATAACATAACAACAACAAACCATGATTTGCAACACATTTTGGCGCGGTTTGCGTCACATAGATTGCGCTCACGCCTCTTGACATAGGTACGCATGTGCATTGCGAGATCTTCACTGATTTTGATATGTTTGCTATGACAGATTTGGTTAGCGTATGTACGAAAGGTTATATTGACTCTGTTTGACGACTATTTTGAAGTATAGTGTACTTTTGAAATTATCGCTTGGAAAATTATAAAAAAAATATTTGCGAAAATGACGACGAATGTGACGTCTATCGGTCGTAGAAACAGGCAAAGACAAGGATGAGCTAGATATGAAATATTTGTTTAGTTTTTTTTGTAGAAGCTTCTATGATTTGGTTCGGCTTAAACTATCAAACACCAAGCGGTCACCGGTGACCGCACCCACCGGTGAACCAACCATTGTCCTATAATTGTGTCTACAAAACCGGTACTCGACGAGTTAATAATGACGTCATCGAGAAAAATTAGTTAATGTTTAAAAATTTTTAAAAAGTTGTAATATTTAGTACTTATTTGGTTTGATAAGAAATCAAAATAACCAATGTAGTACAAGAGACTATAGAATAAAAAAGATACTATAGAAATATACCCGAATACATGTGTAATTTAAAATACCAGATAACTATTTACCAATTCCAGATTGCACATTACGG